ATCATACTCTGATGCAAAGAATAATAGGATTCTATTATATGGTTAAGTTTGCCTACTTTCCCTAGAAATGTAATTAATCTTGCCTAAACATATTTTCTCTAGTATCTTCCTGGACCAGTTTTTGAATAAGAATCTATATAATCAAAGTATTGAAACAAAGGAAGAATGAACCATAGCTGGGAATGGATTTGAAAATTAAGTTCGAAACAACCAGAAGTTAGAAAATAAGAAAGAGTTGACATTGAAGAGCAAATGATGCTCTAGGATGAAGTGAAAAGAAACTAAATTTATGACATAAACACTATTGGAGAAAAATTAATAAAAGTTTGCAGTGAAAAAGCTTACTATTTGAGTCAACAATTTTGAATCAGGGTCATGGCAGAGGTAATGGAAAAAACAGAACAGATGTGAGAAATATTTTGGAGTTGGAGTCAGCTAGGTTTGCAAGTGAGCCAGTTTAAGAAGAAAGTCAAGGGATACAGTGGAATTCCAGGCCCTGGTTGATAGAGAATACTGATATTGTTAAAAGAAAGAAGGATAGCATGGGAGAAAGAGGTTGATTTTGAGGAAATAAATAAAAATAAAATAATCTTTTTAATAACTTTTAGTATAAAATAAAAGTTATAGGTAATGTACAAATCCATTCTTTAAAGATTAGGTCAATATTTTGTATTTGTGTATATGTTTTTTAGTTTTTATTTGTTTTATTAACTAAGGAGAAAAATGCTATAGATAATAAGTTTATACTTAAAGCAAATCAATGTCTGTAAATAAACCTACATGTAATGATACCACCTCAGCAAACATGATATCACAAATAAAATAGTTCATCAAGAATAATACTTTTATTAAGAGCCTAATTTTTATCTTATGGCAAGATTACATCAAATTCCTTTATGAAAGCCATGGCTATAACAGGCTTTGTGGTTTCAACCCAAAGTTGCTTTTGTTATAAAGCCAACATTAAAACCACACGGTTCAGACAGTTTTTAGAATTCCATATTTTTCTTCTGAAACTTGAACCAGAATATCAGGACTAATGGTCTGTAACCGGTATTTCACATCTCTGCCTTTGTTTCTGGCAGCTTTTCTCACTCCACCTTGGGACCATCAGTCACAGAATGTATTCAACAGGGTAACTGGAACTACAACCGTGTCAATGGTGACTGGTGTTTGTTCTCATTCTTTGTTGTTCTCTGCTGCCTGGGTCACAGGGTTTCTCCCTCATCTCAGAGTAGGAGGAGATTTGGGCAAATCTCTGGCCATGGCCATCAGACAAGCTAAGGTGAAAATCTCATTCCTGCCCTCAATTGTAAACTCTCCTCCAGGTCACTTGTGTTCCTTAAGTTTAATTTTGCACATCTGTAAAACTGAAATTGTATTCTTTTCTTTTCTAGGTTAGTAGATTTAATGACCATTATAATAATAGTGGTTAACATTATGGTCCAAAGAAGCAGACATCATATTCTGCCACTTTACATAGCAGGTTATCTCCTTCTCAGTTTGCTCCATAAAATTGAGATAACAAATGCATCAACCCTGTTCAACATTCAAAATCCATTCACCAACAATGGACCAGACACTATTCTAGACTCTTAAAAGGTTATGGAATTATGTGAGATGATACATAGGTAGGTTGCATTATTGTGCCATTTTATATTCTCCATTCTTGCCAAGCTCCTGTCAGTGGAGACTACTTCCCTGTAACAATTTTAGGCTCATCCGCATGACTTGCTCTGACCAATGGACACAAGCAGACATGATGCATACCATGGCCCAGTAGAAGTTGTAAGTATGCTCTCTTTTTCCCACCCTCTTCCTTGACAACAGAATCGGTCACATAGGGACTTGGTCCTTCAGCCTTGGACCAGATACATAGGACACACAGAACAGAGCTACATAGCTTATAGCTACATAGAATGTTGCAGAACTATAAATAATAAATACATAGTTTTGATGCTGTTGTATACTAATCAACACTGAAAAACAAGAAATAAATGCTTGAGAATGGAAGTCAAGGAAAACTGACTGACATGACATAGTATCTTGCATGTAGAAGTACTTTATATCTTAGAAATAATAATAAACTAAAATCTATATATATAAAAGGCTAATATGCAAAGTGTCCCCTCGGAAATTCGACCGGGAGACTGGGAATTCGATCGCTCACTATGACGTGCGCTGGCCACCAGGGGGCAGCATGGAACGAGGGAAGGAAGGCCCCAGCCAGCAGCCAGAGGCCCCAATCGGCCCTGATCGCTGGCCAGGCCTAGGGACCCTACCCATGCATGAATTTCGTGCACCGGGCCTATACTATATAATAATAGTATACAAACACTTAAAATTATATTGACATCTTTCTATCCACCCATCTAACCAACAAATATTTATTGAGAACTACATGCATATATGCCAGAGACTATTTAGGCTGCTGGAGATAAAGCAGTGAACAGGTAAAATTTATGCTCTCATAAAGATGACATTATTATGGGGGAAAGTAGAAATTTGAGTATAAGAGGGAGAGATGTTATAAAAAAAAATAACAGGGAAAGGAGACAGAAAATATCAGATATGGAAGAGATCTGTGTGTCTGTAATTGTGTAGTGTTCTGAGACGGCTTTACTAAGGGAGACACCTTTGAGCAGAGATTAAAAAGAAGTAAAGAAGGGAGTCCAGGGGATATCTGGGGCAAGAGGGAAAAGCAGGTGTAAAAGGGTTGGGACAGTCAAGGATTAGTTAAGAGGCCTTATAACTGAGAGAAGTTAGAGGCACTCTAGTGAAAGGTGAAGTCAGAGAGGAATAAGGGAGCCAGTCATTTATTCCTTCTAAGCTATTGGAAGAAGTTCCGGCTTTTTTTGTTCCAAAAGAGATAGGATGGTCCTGGGAAAACATGACATTATCTATGTTTTAAAAAGTCATTCTGGCTGCTGTTTTGAGGATAGTTTATATGGCTTAAAGGTAAAAGCAGGCAGATCACTTAAAAAGCAATTGTAATAATCCAGTCAGAGACAATGGTAGCTTGAATCAAGGGGAGAACAGTGAGAGCCATGAGAAGTAATGAACTCTGGATATATCTGAAGCTAGTGGCTGACCAGATTTGTTAATGAGGAATACATAACTAGAAATAAATGTATTTATTGAGATAGGGAGGCATGGAAGAAGGGCAAAATTGAGGGGCAAGTGGTAATCAAGAATTTACTTTTAGCCATTGAGAGTTAGGGTAAACTTGTTCAATTCTGATTTTCTTCTTGCTGGCCTTCCAGAGAGGGATTTGGCTTTCTGCCAAGTCTATGGGAACCACTGCACAGAGTGGTTATGGTAATTAATCCTGCCAGAATGATGAGGTGAAGGATCAAAGCTGTGTCCCCTTGTTACAAGGAAAATAATTGGAGCCCAGCCCTCTGATTGTGTCTGGGGAGGGGCTGGTGCTCTCCTGCCCAATAATGCTATGCTGACAGAGCAGGGCTGCCGTTGAGCTTTCAGCACATGGCAATGCTTTCTACGTGGGTTTTTGCTATTGCTTTTTAAATACCCAGCCTCTGATCATGCAAAAAATATATATATATTATGCTCTCCCTTGTCACCTATTTTAAGAGCCTCCAGCCTCACTGTCAAAATCATCCTCCAAGAGCTTGATATCCATTCCGACTGGATCAGTAAGCACAGACTAGAATGAGTTTCCATTGGGGTGTGTTTGTTTTAGGTGTTTCCCTAGTTATCTTTGAGATTCCTATAAGAAATCTAAATTGAAATGTTGAGTAGGTGGTTAGCATGTAAGTCTACAGTTCAAGGAAAATGTTGAGAATAGAGATAGACAGGGTGGGGCAAAAACAGGTTTACAGTTGTGAGTATATGAAACACATAGTTTATTCTTGTATTATTATTTATTAACTAGAGGCCCAGTGCATGAATTCATGCACGGGTGGGGTCCGGCTGGCCCAACCCCAAACAGGGCAGATTGGGGCCAGGCCCGCTGGAAGGAGGAGACAGCGGGAGGTTGGCCTACCGGCCCGCCCCGATCAGGCCCAATCAGGGCCAGGTCTGCTGAGGAGAGGGTCAGAGGGGGCCGATTGGGGGCCAGTCGCCTGGGGAGGGGCTGTGGGTGGTTGGCTGGCCGGCCCTGCCCCTGATCAGAGTGGGGGGGCCAATCGGGAGCAGAGCTGACTGGGGGTAGGGACTGTGGGCCGATCAGGGTGGTGGGGGCCCACCGTGGGTGGGGCCGGCCAAGGGGAGGGGCTGCAGGAGGTTGGCAGGCCGGCCCCACCCCTTATTCTGGTGGGGGGGCAATCAGGGGCAGGGCCAGCCAGGGGGAGGGGCTGCAGGCCAATTGGAGTGGTGGGGCTGGCCGGCGGGGAGGGGCTGCAGGAGATTGGCCAGCAGGGCCCCCCCCTAATCCAGCCAGTTTGCTGGCTGCAGTGGACATCATAGCTACCGGTCATTCCGGTTGTTACAACATTCTGGTCACTGGCCTTTTATATATATAGGTTATTGTACTATTTTCCAGACAAACAACTATATGGGAAATATGTATGAGTTCATTAATGGAAAATCTAAACATGGAGAGAAAATGATTGAAACCAATCCTTAGGAAAATATAAGGTGTAGCCTGAGAATAAAACATCTCTGAAGGTAACTGAGGTTAATAAAGACTCCAAAACATTGTAATTACAAGGCAAACAATTTGGTTATTAAAACCCCTCAAATATAATGAAATTATAGTTTAACTTCAGACATGATTTCCTAGTATTTTTCATGTGATGAGACACAAACACAACTGATCTAAACCTTTTTACCATTTTCACAAAGATTTTAAGGGTAATTACTAGCAAAGATTTACAATAATCTCTTCCAGAGTTAATATATTTGAGAGTATACAATTGAGGGTATTTTGGAATATTAGTTAAAATGTAATGCTGATTTCATTGGGCAGTACATACTGTTGGTGGGTTTTTCAGTAAACAGGTTTGAAAATAGTCATATATTAAAATATTCTTTCTTACCAGGATAGAGGGTACAGTCCATAAAAGACAAATCATCAATTGCAATGTCTCCCGTGAAGCCATCTCCCACTGAAGCCTCCACCAAAATCTAAGAAAAATAGAAATTTATTGTCATTCTAAAGGAAACTGATTTATGAAATCCGATAGCTGAAAAAGAATTCAGAATTTACCTAAAGAAAACTCTCTTCTGAACCATTAAGAAATATTTTACAAGAGTCTTCATAAGTAGCATCTTGCCTCTGCCTGAATAATCCTAGTCACGAGATGCTCCCCACTGCCCCGAGCCTATGGAAGCCAAGAAGCCCATATCAGATTGATATCTACTTCCCTATAACTTTCTACCACTATTTCTACACTTGCCCTGTTTTCCTTTGATCCTTTAAGTATTTGAAGGCAAATTATTGTCCCCTTTTCCCACCTTTGCCCTAAAGTTCACACGTTTCCAAGGTTAGACTTCTTCATCCTTTGAGAAATCCAATTTGCTGCCGGAGGTACTTGCTAGAATGTACATATTGAAGAGCTTTAAAATTTTTCCCACAACGACCTTATTCTGTAACAATTTATGAAACTGGCTAATCGTTATTAGATCTCCTTCTGAACCACATTAATCACAGTGAACCCAGATGACATCTGTGCTTTTACAGGAGCTGCAATTCCACCAAAACTCTAGTAAAATGTGAAATACTGACAAACCACTGCAGTGTATGGCAGATTGTGATTAGGGCTGAGATTTACTGTAATAGAATTAATCATGATGAATTATTTTAATACTTATGCAAATATGTTGAATACTTACTAGGAATCCAGCTATAATTTAATAATGAACTTCAAGTAAACTCAAACGGTAAAAACATGTTCTCTTTTTCCACTATTAGATGAATATATGTTTCTATTTCATTTTTCCTCACAAATGATATATGTGGGAGTAGAAATTTTATTTCATTTTTTAAATTATAAAAATCAAAAGTTATCTCATACATTGTTTATTGATGTTTTACTTAAAGTTTTAAAAGGTCAAATTAATGACCTCAAGCCTCTTGACATCTTCTTCCAACTTCCCAGTCTTTCTTGAGAACTACCAGATTTCCTCCCTGACTTGTTGCTAAGGGACTTAATGTTGGAAAGGTTGATGCACCTACAAATGGGTAAATATAGTCCACCTGATACTGCCAGAGGAACATTTAACAGTGGTATGCAGGAAGTATCCCACTGCTTTACAAAGGCTCACACCAAATATAAAATGCACTCTTCTTTTTACCACCAGCAGGATTCAAAGAAATTAATAGGCAGATAAAAATACTTTGTACAAAATCATACAACTATTCTAATAAACAAAAAGAATTTGGCAGTACGTACTGTCAAAATATATTGTTGTTTTGTAGAAAATAAGACTGAAGTTGGGTAAACAAGAGGAAAAAGTTATAAGAAAAGACCAATTAATTACTAATACATTTCTTGGATCATTCTGTATCTATCTCACTGCAGTACCATATAGAATATGTTAACAGAAGGCTCACAGGTGGAACAAAAAAGAAAAACTAAGATATATAAAAATAAACACTATTGACTTGGCTATCCAGCTTATGATTATCTTAATTAATTCATGAGAAGAGATAGAAAATTGATATCAGAATTCCAAAATTAATTTTAATTAAAATTTATTGGGGTGATATTGGTTAAATTATATAGATTTCAAGTGTACAATTCTATGACACATCATCTGTATATTGCAGTGTTTACCACCCAAAGTCATATCTTCTTCCATCACCATATATTTGACCCCCTTTACCCTTTACTACCACCACCCCATACCCCTTCCCTCTGATAACCACCATACTGTCATCTGTGTCTGAGTTTTTGTTTGTTTGTGTTTCTTGTTTGTAAATTTGTTCCAAAGTCTATAAAAAGCATACCTGTGCATATAAATATCTGTAAGATTATTTTAGGATATATACACATATTTAGTTCCATTCAAATGTCTGGGATCAACTGTTCCAAAGTATTCCTTTTGTTAAAATATTGGTCATTTGTAAAAATTACAAATTTTCTCATTTGTGAGCCACACCCAGTAAGCAGCATTTCTGAGTGGATGCTGTCTACATGGGCTTATTTGCATTGGAGTTTATTTCATATTATATGGAAAGCATTGCTTCTGTCAGCATCCCGTGCTAATGGGAAGACAGCTGAAATAGTCTGAGGCAAAGGACAGTTGGGTCTTGCTGTAAGGCACAATTTAATCATAATATTCACTAAAATATCTTCAACTTCCTACTCCTCTAAATGGTAGCATTCTTAAGAAAAAGTGAACAATGGTTTCAAGATGAGATACTAAAAATGTCAATTTGTATATATAATTGCAGCCTTTTTTGGATATTAAAAAGCCTATTTGATAACAAATCACATCTTTAGAAAAAGTTATGAATGTTGAGGCTTAGTTCTATTTTTAATCTATATTTAATTTAGTTTTGCAAAAGGCTTTGCAAAGTATCCTAAGAAACTAGTCCTAAGAAAATAATCACAAAGAGAGCGAAACCAAGTTCTGGAAAATTTACTTTCACTTCTGGTGGTTTTCCCAGAATAAATAGAAGGATATTCAATTATAATCATTGTTGTAAGATAGCATTGCAATTCTGAAAATTAGGGAAGCCAAATTTTACTCCTAAATTTCACTAGTACCTTACCGAATGACTTAAAGAAAAATTCCAGTTTGGTCTAAATGGCCTGGATTATCTGTAAAGGTCAATTCTACTTGCATTAGAACTATTGTTAGCTTGGAAACTTTATAAAGTAACCTAGCTCTTCTAAGTTGTTTTTTTCATGGGCTACCTCATGCTTAAATAAATATGAATGGCCTTGTCAACTACATTGAAACTTTTAGGTCTAATATAACTAAAGACTCAAATATTAATAAGGCTTTAGAGCAGTGGTTCTCAACCTTCCTAATGCCGCCACCCTTTAATACAGTTCCTCATGTTGTGGTGACCCCCAATTTCATTGTTACAAATTGAACATAATTAAAGCATAGTAATTAATCACAAAAACAATATGTAATTATATATGTGTTTTCCAATGGTCTTAGGCGACCCCTGTGAAAGGGTCATTCAACCCCCAAAGGGGTCGCGACCCACAGGTTGAGAACCGCTGCTCTAGAGACTCACCTCAAATCATTCTTTAAGGAAACTCTGAGTTATTGACTAAAACTTTTAAATAATATGGAATCTATTGTCATAATACATTTAACAAAAGTTAGTCATAATTTTTATCAAACTACAATTTCCTATCTGTATTTTTGTGGGATATGTATATGTGTGTGTGTGTTTTGTAGGCTCTATTAATTCATAAGATAGAAAAATAGAATTAATTCAACTTGTTAACTATGTTAGCCAGCATGTATTTGAAAAAGAATACAAAATTTCAGCATACTATATCAATGTTTAATATAATACATCTCAGAAAGACTCAAATGAAAGGAATTCTCATTTAAAATTTATAAAAGCTTATCCTGTGCAGAGCAACTGGAAGTCCAATGTACTACTGGTGAGAATTCAAAATGGTACAGCCACCTTGGAAAATGATTTGGCAACTTCTTATAAAATTAAACACATTTCCATATAATGTGGCAATCCCACATGTAGGTAGTTTACTCAAGAGAAATAATACATGTCTAAATAGAAACCTGTTCACAAAGTTTACAGAAGCTTTGCTTATGATGTCTAAAATTTGGAAACAACCCAAATATCCCTTAATTAGTAAATAGATAATGGAAATTGTGGTAGATATAGACAATGGAATACCATCCTATATAATAAAAGCCTAATATACTAAGTGTCCATTCGTCCAAAAGGCTATATACTTTATCAAACCATTTATATAACATTCTAGAAAAAGGAGAATTATAGGAATGAAATCAGATTAGTGTTGCCAAGGGCTCAAGGGAGGGAGAGGGAATTGACTACATAGAAGAATGGAGAATGTGGAATGATGAAAATATTTTCTATCTTAGTTGTGTCAGTGGTTACACAGATGTCGTTTGTTGAAATGTATAGAACTGTTTCCCTAAACATGATGGATTTTACTTATATAAATTATACCTCAATATATAAAAAACATTTATTCTATACTTACTGCCATAAGTCATCAATACTCAGCTATTACTTTTACTTTTGTTTAAATTGCTAACTTAATGCATGGCATTTGATAGTCAGTATATAGTAATCTCAAGTATTTCTATTTTTCATTCAGTATGAAAAATCTTCTCCTGTTATCCACTAATAATTTTCCAGAGAACAAATATTTGTGTTTTCTCCTCTACTTCCTAACTGTGTCAACTTATTTTCATTTGGCATTCCATAATTAAAAATGCAGAAAAAATGAAAATGAAAGACATTATAAAAACTCTCTTTAGCCTATTTTGACAATTTACTATAAGCTGAAGTAGACAAATTCCTATAAATATATTCACACAAGTATCCAATATTTTATTGTATAAGATACAACTTAGAGTGCTCCTAGAAAGTCAGCTTAGAACCTCAAACTTTTTAGGCTAATACTTAAGAAAATATTTGCTTGATTCAACATTAAACGAGTTTCAATCATCTTTGGAATTACTTTATATAACCCTGAGGCCAATCTCTGTGAAATGAAACTTAGAATTTTGTCTGACAAATTTTGTTTCTAACTCTATGTGCAGAATAATTAGTTTTCAGTTATTAAGCCAAATATATGAACACCACTTATTATTAAACATGAGCCATAAGAGCCATACGTAACCTGTACATACACTGAGCAGAGAAATGAATACAAGAAAATATAATACTTGTAAACATATATACACCCAATATAGGAGCACCCAAGTGCATAAAAAGCTCTCTTTTTTATTGTTTAAAGTATTACAAATAGTAGTACATATGTCTCCTTTTCCCCCCATTGACCTCCGCCTGGCCTCCCCCACCCCCGGCACATGC